GTGTAATAGAAAGACCAGACATAGGACAATAGGGTTTAAAGCCATTGTGGGGACCCAAAACTAACACTGTATGGAAATTTCAGAATAATATACAGATCAGGTATTTGGGGATTTTATGAAGTCTGGGACCTAATCAAGCTGCTTGGAAAAACATGTAGCAATGTTACAGATCATTTTTTAAATATATATTTTTTTATTTCAGAGAGGAAGGGAAAGGGAGAGAGAGACAGAAACATAAATGATGAGGGAGAATCATTGATCTGCCATCTCCTGCATGCCCCCCACTGGGGATGGAGCCCACAACCCCAGCATGTGCCCTGACCGGGAATCAAACTGTGACCTCCTGGTTCATAGGTCGATGCTCAACCACTGAGCCACGCCGGGTTGTGCTCTTTAAGAGACTGCAGGGAGGTGCATTGCCAGCACATTCTGAGACATGGAGGACTTTGGGCACGAACAGTGTGCAGACATAGACGGATTTCTAGATGGGAATCAGGACAGGTTTCTTGCCGTTGTCTTGGAAACATAACCCAAAGCTAAGGAGACATTCAGCGAATGATAAAGAGAATTTCAACTTGCTGAGGGGTTACGGGTCACATCTAACGGACATGTAGAGTTTGGTAACTAACTCCCAAATAAAAAGTGCTTCTTCATCTCATTTTCACTCAACTGTAAGCCATTTGACATGCATATGAAGGCTGTAGAATCTTTAAATTTATTTTTTTATTAGTAGATTTGTTGGGGTAACATTGGTTAATAACATTATACAGATGTCAGGTGTACAGCTTTGTAACACAACATCTGTATGCTCTATTATGTGCTCTTGTAGAACCTTAATATTATAAACGGAATAAAGTAAATCAAACAGCAGACAAGCAGGCCATTGGACAATTCCACACCGATTCCTAGTTGCTTCCGGGACTCCATAGACAGTTAGTTACCTTACAAGGCAGGATGGTTGGAATGTTTACCAGCTGTGGAGACTTCCCATTAGTGGTTCTTAAGTTTTAGTTTGCATGAGACATGTTCTCTCAGGCTGTGCACACAGGTCATGGCGCTTGTCTCTAGGGGGCAGTTTTGACAATACCAGACGTGGTTTTGCTGCCAGTAGCTCTGATGAGATGTTGGTGAGGGAGAGGATGCATTCAGCTGACAACCCTGTGTGATGCGCCTGCCCGGCTGGTAGGATTGTGGTCCGGGTGTGCCTTCTGCTTACTGCGCTCAGGTGTGGCGGGGATAAGGTGACGGATCCACGCCTGCTGTGTCCAGGAGGCAAAGGACACCACCCTGGCTACGCCTGGCCAGGCACTGGGCCTGGTGTTCTTGATCCTCGGAGAGCCTGATGAGACCGTCTGTCTTGCGTCAAGCTCAGCGATGGGTGGCCTGATCGTTAGTAAGTGGCCCGGCGGCCTTGGTAGCGCACCACTTCCCTGGAGGATGATTTTGCCGTCAGAGGACATTTGACAATGAGGACATCCCTGGGTGTCACTACCGAGAGAGGCTATGGACGACTGTGGGTGGAGGCCAGGGATGCTGCTAACCACCCTACAGTGCACGGGGCGGCTCTACAACAAAGGACTGTGCCCCCAAATGCTCACTGGGCCAAGGGCGAGAGAGCCTGGGCTAGAAGCTTCCTTTCCTGCATTTCATTGGAAGCAGCAGCGACTGTATCCAGAAGCCTGGAGAGCTGACCCCTCATGGAAAGATGAGTTCAGGAGGGTAAATGTGGGCTTCTGAGGATAGCGATGTGGACCTGCATTATTCCTTCTGCAGCTGTGCTCCTGACTCCACCCCGAGGGAGCCTGGGGCGCCCTGTCCTTGCTGGTTAGTCTGAGGGAAAGTGATGAGGCCTAATTGCACTGGGTTCAGTGAGTTCCCGGGGGTGCCCCCCACCTGTCTGCGCTCAGTGGCTGCTGTCTGTGTACACAGCTCCCTCGCCGCCTCTTCTCCATGGAGACCCAGGGGCAGCCTCGCCATTGTGTTCTCACCTGCTCACCAGGTTTTGTCGGAACAGCTTGGGGAAATCAATACCAGCTCCAGGGGAGACAAGCACCCTGGCTTTTGATTCCTGGAAGGCTCGGTGACTCTTTCTGTGCAACCCTAGACTGTTTTGTGTGGAGTCGGGAGGAGGGTGCTCCCAACCCATTCTTCCTTCTATTATTTATCCTCTTGCCCCTCCGGAGTGTGGGCTGTTTGTGTTGAATAGAGTTACCTGAGTCACACCGAGTCTGTTTTCACATTGCAGCCTGCTTTCTTCTTATTCTAGGGCGTGTAATTGAATCTGGGTCCGGAGTTGAATGGTGCCCTGCGGATATAATACCGTGTCCTTAGAATTCGTGAGTGCGTGAAACACTGTACAGGGCACAGGAGGAAGCCCCGGCACCCATCGCCTGCTTGTCTTAGCACCTGGCGGCTCCATAATTGTTTAACCAGTCTGGTGGTGACTGGTCACTTGTTCCCAAGTTTTGGGAATTGCAACCAAAACCACAGGCATTGTTATGGTTTAGTTAATAATGATTCTTCAGGAAACATCTAGAAAAGTAAAATTACTCCACATGAATCCAACATTTCAAGGCTTTGGGGCAGTCTTCCCATAGTCTCTCTGGAAAGTTGTACCAATTTGTACCCTCAATGGATGTGTATGGACATGAGCTTTGTCTCTGGAAGTCACACCAAGGGATATGTTGGGAGTGCCCACGTGGTCGAGAGCCCTGTGCATGAACCTACCAAGTTATGACTCAGCAACTATGAGAACTCATTGTTACTGTGGCCTTTGCTTACCTGGCTTCGGCGTCACCTGTTTCAGGAACACGCCAGACGTGTTCCTGCCCCGGGACCTTGGCACTTGCCATCCCTGAGGCCTGTGGAAACCTGACACTTGCCCCCTGGCTTACCTCCCCCCTCTCAGAGGGCTTTCCTCACACCTGCCTTCTCAGTGACGCTTCCCCTGGCTTCCCATTTAACATGGAACTACTGCCCCTTCCTCCCAAATGCACTCACACGCCTCAGCTTCTCCTCGCCTGCGCCATTTCTCTGCACGCCCCTCGGTGCCGTCTAACATCCAGATCCCCAGCATTGTGGACAGCACAGTGTAGGCTCAGTGAGTGGGTGCTGAGTGAGTAGATGGGTCCTCACTGGTCAGCGCTGATGAGCCGCACAGTGGGCTTCCCTCATCGCCTGGGCCAGAGGAGCCGCCGTTTCGTTTGGGTTCCTTTCCTTTCCTTGTCAGCTCCAGGGAAGCTGTGACTTACAGGACTGGTTCTGTTGCTGAGGCTGCCGTGATCAGCTCTGTCGCTGTGGTCGCAGTGATGTCCACCGGTCCCTGAGAGAGGGCAAGGCCCACGTGCACGCGGCCGATGGATATTCACACCGAGGCCTACTTCTAAAACCACAAGAACCCGCTAGGACATGGGGCAGAGATTTGGCAGTTCCCAGAGGAGTGGACCTGGGACTTGGCCGTTCGTGTCCAGGCTCACTCACTGTGGGAGAAATCCGGGTTGAAAGTGCACCGAGATCTCCTTTCTTCGCGGCGTCAGGTGTGCTAACGGCAGGCTGTTGGGGAGGCTGTGTTGGTAGGCAGCCTCATCCGTTGCTGGAGGCAGTGCGGACGGCACAGCTCCAAGGAGGCCCATTGGAAACAGCCATGAGAATTTGAAACTGCCTCTGCCCTCGTGCCCAGCAATTCCACTCCGCCCCGCTCTGGGCAGGATGTATTCACGTGTGTGCAAAGCGGTAGATGCGTGAGCTGACTGACCCGCCTCCTTTGTAACAGCCACAGGGAAGAATCACCCAGGGGCCCGGCAGAGGATGGGGTCATCAGATAGGTGGTCTCCATGCAAAGAACCAGGACGCAGCTGTGAGAGCAGCAGGCGCAGTATTTGTGCGAATATAGAGAGATTTCGAAGAGATACAAAGTGAAAAGACCAGGGGAGAGAATGCTGCCTTCTGTATGCAGGGGGAAGGGCGGTACATTTTTGCATTTGCCTTGTGTATGTGAAGACGTTCTAGAGCAGCGGTTCTCAACCTGTGGGTCGCGACCCCTTTGGCGGTTGAACGACCCTTTCACAGGGGTCGCCTAAGACCATCCTGCATATCAGATATTTACATTACGATTCATAACAGTAGCAACGTTACAGTTATGAAGTAGCAACGAAAATAATTTTATGGTTGGGTCACAACATGAGGAACTGTATTTAAAGGGCCAGAAGGTTGAGAACCACTGCACTAGAGGAATACAGAAGAGACTAATGACACTGGATAATTGGAGGGAGGGATGGGGGTCTGAACTGAGACAGGGTGGGTGGTCCACTTCCAGAGGAGGGAGATTCTACATTGCATGTCATCTCACACACACACACACACACACACACACACACATTCATGTGTTGAATCATGTGCGTGTTTGACCTGTTCAAAAATTTTTTAAGTTAGCCTGGCCAGCGTGGCTGAGTAGTTGAACACTGACCTAAGAACCAGTAAGTAGGTCATGGTTCAATTCCAGGTCAGGGCACATGCCCAGGTTGCGGGCTCAATCCCCAGTGTGGGGCGTGCAAGGCAGCCAATCAATGATTCTCTCTCATCATTGATGTTTCTGTCTCTCCCTCTTCCTTCCTCTCTGAAATCAATAAAAAAATGATTACAAAATACTAAGTTAAAAGGTCACTCTACAGGAGATGGCTGGGCTGGGAGAGGATTCCCTTACCCCCTTGTATCAGCAGCGCCGCTCAATCAAATGAGGATCCAGGGTTCGCTCTGAACGGCCTGCACCTCCATCCCTCAGTCCCTCCGGGAAGGTGCCTGGTGGGAGTGGGCCTTGGGGAGGGGGTGTGTTGCACGTGGGAGAAACTCAGGCCTGGCCCCTTCCCAGTGACATCCTGGTTGCTATAGTGCAGCTCTGTTTGTGACACAGAAAACATTGTAGAGAAACGCTGCTTCCTGACCTGACTTCCTGGGCAGTCTGTCCTTCCGGAGCTGTGAGCGCGGGCTTCCGTGGCTCTGGCCGGAGCGAGGCCAGCTCCCGGGACCCGGGGTAAGGGGCGCCTGCTTTCCCGTCCAGAGTCACAAAGCTGCCCTCCCAGGGCCATGTCCCCGGCAGCTGGACTCTAGGGCATTGGCACCTTCTCCTCCTCTGTCTTGTCTCCTCCGAGCAGCCAGGGGTGCAGTTGGCAGCTGTGTCTTCTGTCCCTGAGCCGTTACTTGTACCTCAACCACCAGTGAAAACAGGAAGTGATGAAGCAGGCCCGCCTCGCGTGTGCTCTGAGCGACCTTCTTTCTCTTTGTCATTCCTCACCAGGGATAGACACGTGTGGCCGTCCGCACCGCGGGAGCCCGGGGCACCAGCGTGGGACACGGCTTCACCATGCCGCCCCCTGCGGACATCGTCAAGGTGGCCATCGAGTGGCCGGGCGCCTACCCCAAGCTCATGGAAATCGACCAGGTTGGTAATTCGCGGAGCGGTGTGGGGTTGTTCTCGGTGTCCCTTCGGTTCTGGAATTTTCGCAGACATTGATGGCTCTTTCCCCCTGGCCTCTCCCTGGCTGTGCTGAGTCTGTGCAGTAATAGTTGCAGTATAGTTGGTTTCTGTCCCACACACAAGGGCGATGCATGGCTGCTTCATTCGCCCAGCATCTGCGTGGATGGTGTCAATACAGGGATTGTGGCCTGGCCAGCGTGGCTCAGTGGTTGAGCATCAACCTATGACCAGGAGGTTGATTCGATTCCCGGTCAGAGCACATGCCCGGTTGTGGGCTCCATCCTCAGCGTGGGGTGTGCCGGAGGCAGCCGATCAATGATTCTCTCTCATCATTGATGTTTCTCTCTCTCTCTCCCCCTTTCCCTTTCTCTCTGAAATCAATGAAAAAATATTTACTAAAAATAAATTCCAGGGCATGTGTCTGAGGCTGTGACGAGGCTCAGGGACAGTGGCCTGCGGGCTCCAGGCCAGCACACAGCAGGGCTGCCCCAGCCTGCCTGGCGGGGACTCACGGACACATGCAGACCATTTCATCACGGGCAGCACAGAGCTTAATTTTTTGAATCATGTTTCTATTCGAATTTGGCCGGAGCAGCCAAGTGCATTGGAGTAAGGGCTTGCTAATGAAATGAGTGTCACGGGGCTCAGTCTTGGATCCCAGACAATTGTAATTTTGAGATTAGTGTAAACTGCACTGTGAGTCTAGTATATTGCCTGGCAGGTGACAAATACTCAGTAAATGTTGGCGGAATGAAAACCACATCACGGTGACTTAAAAGGTGATTTTGCCCAGGAAGCCTCCCCTGGCTTGGATCTGGGCGGTCCCTGGGAGTCGCTGGCACTTGCTGTTGTAGTTCAGGTTCTCTCAGGAGGGTTACCTTGCCCCCCAGAGCAAGTGATTTAAAGAAAAAGGGGATAAACCTCAACACGCAGTGAAGGGGTTCCTAGAGCAAATAACACAGGACTCCAAACGGCTTCCGGCCTTTGCAGAGTCAGGGTGCCATGGCAACTCCACTTCTTATTTATGTTCTTGATATTATTTTATGATTATAATCTGTACTGATTTTTTTCCTGGTTAGATTTTATTATCTGGTTGAAGGTTATATAACATTGTGTGGATCCAAATAACTCATTAAAATAAGTTCTACACAACAAGTCAGAATTACTGGAGCTTGAGTGTGAATGTAAGACAAGGTCAATGTTTAGGGTTGTTGTCATTCGGCCAGTGCACCACTGTCAGCATAGCTCAGCCGTGGGCAAACTACGGCCCTCGGGCCGGATCCGGCCCGTTTGAAATGAATAAAACTAAAAAAAAAAAAGACTGTACCCTTTTATGTAATGATGTTTACTTTGAATTTATATTAGTTCACACAAACACTCCATCCATGCTTTTGTTCCAGCCCTCCGGTCCAGTTTAAGAACCCATTGTGGCCCTCGAGTCAAAAAGTTTGCCCACCCCTGGCATAGCTGCTCCCAGAGGTGGTTCTGTGTGACTCTGGAAGCAGCCCACTTGGGTCCAGAAGCCCGCCCAGCCGTTTTCTCTTCATTTGTGCCAAACAGCTGTTTGCCCTTTTCACGTGCTGCTTGAGAGGGTCACCAGCTGGATTACGCTGCGTCTGGGACTGCTTGGTGCAGACAGTGCAGTCAGGAGGAGGTGTGGCCACACCAGACAGAACAGCGCTTCCTTGAGATGGGAGCTGGCTCCCGGGCTGGCGCGATGCTCCGGTGTCAGGGGCCCAGCTGCCTTCTGTCTTGTTGCTCTGCCGTCTCCGTGGGGCTGAGCACCAGTTGCCCGGGCGGCACCTGGGAGCTCATTAGACGTGAGAATGGGGGAGCCCACCTCAGATCTTCTGACACAGGACCTGCAGTTTCACAAGACCCCCGTCTGGTAGTGCAGAGCTGCACACCTGGTGCCCGAGGCTGATTTCTCAGGAGAACCACCTGGGGCCCCGTCCCAGGAGATTCTAAGTCAGAGATTCCAGTAAATGATTTCCTCTGGATTCTGCCACGGCTGGAGCGGTTGGGAGCGTCTGCTTTAAGACAGCAACTCCTGCTGCACACTCCTGACTCCCGTGGAGGCAGTCCTGCCCCTGCCGTGGGGTCTGGCCTTTGCTGTGTATTAATAATTTAAAAATATATTTAAAAATATTTGGGGCCCAGCCAGTGTGTCTCAATGGTTGAGCGTTGACCTATGAACGAGAAGGTCATGGTTCAAGATTCCCAGTCAGGGCAAGTGGTGCTTGGGTTGGGGGGCGTCCAGAAGGCAGCTGACCAATGATTCTCTCTCATCATTGATGTTTCTCTCTCTCTCTCCCTCTCCCTTCCTCTCTGAAATCAATAAAAATATATTTAAAAAATAATACAGTGGGGCCTTGACTTACAAGTTTAATTCATTCTGAGACTGAGCTCGTTAAGGAGCTCGTTAACTCAAATTACTCTATCAACTCAATGCAAAAAATCAGCCGAGAGACAGCTGGTATCTCAAAAAACTCGTTAGTCGGGAAACTCGTAAGTCAAGGCCCCACTGTATATTTTAGAACAGTTTTAGGTTCACAGAAAAATCACGGCAGCTCAGGGCCCAGCCTGGCTCCTGGTCATCTCCCTGTTTGATGGACGTACTTGTCCCTGTGGAAGCTTTCAGCTGCCTACAGAATTCACAAGCCAGTGCTGGTGAAGCTCTCCAGGGTGAACCTGAAAGGGGGGTTGAGAGGCTGCCGACTGTGGGAAGCTGTTTCATGCGGAGGAGAGGTCGTTAGACGTGTTATTTATGGCTCCGAGCGCGGAAACTCCATGCTCTCCACACAAGGAAATAGATCTGGCCTCCTCTCAGGGAAGGCGGGCCCGGGCCATCTGGGCAGGCGAGGGTCCTGTCCGTCATTTCAGGGAGGCTCAGGTGCGTCTCAGACACACCTGGGCCAGGTGGCCAGGCAGAGGGTCAGGCCCAGGGGCTGATGGGAAGGTGCATGGCTTCCATCTGAGCCCTTCAATCCTCCTCCGGTGGCTGCCAGGCTTTCCTAGGTGGCTGCGGCCACAGCAGCTGGGATGGAGCTGTTTTCACTGGGGAAGCTGTGAGGAAAGATTCTGTTTGAGGAAGGTCTACCACAATTTTTTAAAAAATCACGAATGAGCCTCGAGCTTCCTAGTGACCTGAGATTCGAGTCAGATTCCTTAACTGGCCTCACGGAGCTTCCACGATCCCCATGCATCAGCCCCAGTTCACGTTGCCCGGGGACCTCGTGCTCCTCTCACGAGCTCAGGTGTTTTGTAGAAGCTGCGCCTTTACAGGTGCGTCCCTGCGGCTTTACAGGCATTAAAAACCCCCTGAGGCTTTGTTCTAACTAACAGCGAGCCTGCTGGACTGCCTCCCGCCTTATCAGCGCTCCACGCCTCTCACTCCCGCTCTGGTAAGCACATGGGGGGGCGGGATAGAGCCGCCTTAGAACTCAAATCCTTTGTGATCACGTTATAATATAGCCATTTCTCCATCCTTCTTATTTCTTATACCATTCCTTGGCTGGTAGCTTTGATTTCATTTAATATGACCTGTGGGCGTGGATCCTAAGCCCGGTGGTCAGCCTGTGTCTTACACACACGGTGTCTGGGGTCCATCGTATTGACCTCAGTTTCTGGCTTCCATAGTGAACAGTAAAGATAAGAATGGAACTTCGGTGTCCGCCCTTCTCTGGGCAGAAACATTCCACGGCCCCCTGCCTGGTAGGGTTGGGGATCTCATTTCCCTGGAAGAAACACAGCTGCCTGTGCTTTTGGGCAAGTGTGTCCCAAACCTGAGGTTTTCCCTTGACCGTCCTGCTTGTGTCGTATATTTAAGACACGATTCAAGCTGCATGGATTTCATGTACCCAAGGCCTTTTGAAAGCTTATTGATTGCACAAAGCACAGTTAAGTGTTTGTGCTGGACATCGGAATTCAGCATTCTGTACATAATAATGGTCCTAGTAGCAATAATAACAGCAGGTGCCATCTGTCCAGCACATGCCGTGTGCCAGGCAGCAGGTGAAGTGCCCGGTGTGGAGTGGTTTATCTCCGCAGCACAGCCCAGCGAGGCGGGCTTTAGACTTTCCCGTTCGTAATCGTCGGAGGCTCCTTCACTTGGCTGAGATCACACAGCTGGGAAACTCCCAGTTTGAAGCCAGCACGTAGGACACTAAAACCCAGGCAGTTTCTACTAAATCATAAATCTGGTTGGTAATTCTTTCTTAAATTTATTTCTTTTCAGCTTTATTGAGATATAATTGACATAAAATTGAAAGATATTTAAAGTGAATACCCTGATGATGTGATGTATGTCTCCATCGGGAAAGGATTTCCCCAGTCGAGTTAATTAATACATCCCCCACTTCACGGTTATGGTTTCTTCCCCCTCCCACCCCTTCGTGTGAGAACATTTAAATTCTATGCTCTTAGCAAATTCCAGTTATGCGGTACAGTACATCAGCGGGAGTGACTCTGTGTTCCATGAGAGCCCTACTCATCGTGTAGCTGAAGGTGTGTGCCCTTTTACTGACCTCTGCCTATTCCCGCCCCGGCCCCCCACCCCTGGCAGCCCCTCTTCTGCTGTTTCTGTGAGTTTGACTTTATTTTAGATTCCACCTGTGAGTGATTCCAGGTGGTGTTTGCGTTTCTCTGACTTACTAACGAGTTCCGTAGTTCTCTTGTGTCTCCCCATCTCTCACTCTTCTACGGGTTGGCTCCTGCCATTCACGTTTGAGCAGATACCCAGCGTGGCCACAAGGCCTGCTCCATCCACTAACCACGTGACTTCCAGGGACACGTGTCACGGAAGCAAAGAACAATTAGAGAAAATGTGGCCAGTGGTCTGGGTTCCCACCCAAGGAGCCTACCTGGAGGGAGAGAGAGCATGGAAGGCTGGTTTCTGGGAGGGGCCGTCTGGCGCGGGGCCCAGGAGCATGGACGTTGGGTGGACTGATTTGGACTGGGAATCT